TGTGTGTGTGTGTTTATTAGCATGAGTGTGAGTGTGTGTGTGTGTGTGTGTGTGTGTGTTTGTTTGTGTGTGTGTGTTTTTGTATGAATGTGTGTGATGAATTTTCATCGAGTAGGACCTATCTCGGTCTTTCTGCAGGGATGTTAGCCCAGGCTAACTCTGACAGGTAGGGTGTTATAAAGTCCGCTTTCCAAATGATCTAAATATAGTGTTGATGGGAGCATCAAAACACTTTCATAAAATACATCGTCCTTTTTTTAAACCTATAACATCTGTGCGTGTCCGCTCTCCCCCAGAGCCTGTGGATGTTTGGTGGGTGCTCTGGTGTGGTTTGCCTTTTCTTTTTTTACTGTCCCCGTCGTTTTATGCAAGAACATTTCTGAAATTATGCAAACTGAGCCCAAAAATGGGAAGTTATGCAATTATGTTTTTTAAACAAAGAATGATAAAGGAAAATAGATCAAATCAGAAATTATGCAAAAAATGATCAAATTTTGCTAAATTATGCTGGGTGCATAAAACCACGGGGACAGTTTTTTTAAACATCATTCGTCCGTATCTCTCCTCCTTTTCTTTGTATTTCCTCTTTAGTACAACATGTAGTAACACTTCTCATCTTAAGCACCTAAATGGCCTGTGTGTGTTGCTTTAGTTGCAAGTACCGTAGAACGCTTAGTTAAAGTAAAACTAAAACTATGACACATTTGTGTATCAAGTCTCGTGAAGCTTTTACTAAAACTTTCTTTTCCTTGTGTATTAGTAGGGGGCCTACTACTTTCTTGAAACATATTATGTTCTAATCTTTTTTTACTCTCCTGTACCGTCAGATACATAGGGTGAACACTACAGCAGTCGACGCCACACTTGTCTGTCCCTGGCCACATCCTCAAATTTCGGCAATTCCAGGCCCTGGGTGATTGCCTGATCCCTGATTGTGCCTCTATAGCTTCCAGTTGGTCTTCCTCGTTTTCTTTTTCCAATTGATTTCCAATACCATGTCTGATAGGGCAATCTGCGGCACGTGTATGACCTAAAGTCGAAACTGTATAGGACGGCCCCTCCTTGTCGAAAAGAAAAGTGGCCGTATTAGACAGGAGGCCATCTTACTCTTACACAGTGGCATTATGATCATGTTTGTTCTTTTTAAAGTGTGCAAGTGGGGAAATAGGAGGCGGCCGTTCGCACAGGTGATAGCCTTTTATGCCTGTATAATTTGTGTTTTCAAATGTTGTAAAACTTGATAAGATTCTTACTAACCCCCTCTTCCCTCCCTCCCCCCC